CCATCATCCTCATCCTCAGATCTGTAGAGTAACTGTAGAGACACTCAGTCCAGCTCCTCTGTATCTTCACAGTAACACTCCATCATCATCATCATCATCATCATCATCCTCCTCAGACCTGTAGAGTAACTGTGGAGACACTCAGTCCAGCTTCTCTGTATCTTCACATTAACACTCCATCATCATCCTCAGACCTGTAGAGATGCTCTGACAACATGGCCTGTAGCATCAAGTCAAAGCTCTCAAAAACTCACCACATCTCTCCACGTCCTTCTATGAATTTTTACTGAACTGTTCACATCAGTTTTGGTGCATGCATGTAGATACAAAACACAGGAGAACCCCCCCCAACACACACACACACAAGCCCACAGAGAGCAGAGCTCTGTGGCAGAGAGATAAGCGCCTGGCAGACAGGGGGACCGGACAGCATCACTGCTGAACAATACAGATCCTGGTATCAAGCCCAGACAGAGCCACAGACCGGGAGAGGGAGAGGGGGAGGGACAGGAAGAGTCAGAAACACGCCGGGACATGACAAAGGGAACAGAGAAAGAAGCAAAGGAGAAGGAGGAGAGAAACGGGGGGGGGTTGGGAGAACCAAACGTGAAATTCAAGGGAAGACAAATGGCCAACAGAAAACGCAGACAGGGATCACTAAGAGAAAGAAAAGAAGCCTGATCTTTTCTCCGCACAGCTGTCTCCAGTCAAGACAACAGGAGAACATCAACTCCGGTATCTACTCGCCCATCGCTGCAAACGCCGTCAGCAACACTCCCCACACAACATGGGAAATGATATCCACCTCCCCGCGCAAAGCAGCCTGAGCTACTCCAGGACGTACAACTCAGTGTCCAAGCCCCAGTACAGATCCACAGATCCAATCCACACCTGATTTGTAGCAGATGCAGGTCCCCTGCACTGAAAAAAAAACAGGGGCTAGAAATCAAATCGTTACCTTGATCATAAGGCAACATTTACGTTGCATAGATATTTACATTAACACTAAATCCTCCTCAAATCTGTAGGGACACTCAGTCCAGCTCCTCTGTATCTTCACAGTAACACTCCATCATCATCCTCAGATCTGTAGAGTAACTGTAGAGACACTCAGTCCAGCTCCTCTGTATCTTCACAGTAACACCCCATCATCATCATCACCTCTGCCCAGTCAGAGGGACCAGGCCTCTCCACACCCAGGCCGCCCATCCGTCCAGATAAGACACGGCACACAGAGACGGGCATCAGTTTTAATTAAGCCTTAATTAGGCTATATTACGAGTCGGGCAGCCAAAACTCTCCCTCGGTATGCTAATGCAATCCATCCGAGAGAAATTTACATATCATTAATTAAAGAGATGGGGCGCTCCTAAATGAGCTGTGTGCTGGCCCCGAGACAGAGGCAGAGGGAGGAGGGGGACAGAAGAGAGACTGAAGGGGAAAGGAGAGAGGGGAAAGAGAGATCGACAGACACGCAGAGAGGGCAGGGAGCGCGTCACACCTCACAACGCAAACAAACACCTTCCCACACCAACACTGCAGCCAAGGGAAACACTCAAATAAAGGCTTCAGGCCACTGGTCCTCTTGGTGCTGCTTCTGTATAAGTCCCCTGCAGCTGGTAAGCACTGGCATGGATCAGTCTGCTGCCTACGGGGAGTCCGATTGAAGACAAGGCCAAGCCTGTGGTTCACTAGTTCCAGAATCTCACATGTGATGAAGTTAAAACTATCTTTGTGGAAACAGACTCACCCGAGGAAAAGTTTATACCACAATGCGCAACTGCCACAAATCTGCCTCCGTGTGTATATGGAGAGACCCCACAAGCTCCTACAAAACTCAGCCCATCATAATGGGAGGAAGCCGTAACTAACTGCGGGTCAGAGCCCCCCCAACAGCTCTGCCGTTTTCTGAGCCTGCTGCTGTTCAGGCTGGGCGCTAGGCAGATGCATCCCTTCAACAGGGTACGTAGAGAAACTCGTCCCCGTGCTGCTCTGAAGACAAAGCAGCGAAGGTGAAGGATAAATATCACGCAAATGATGGAACAGGACGCGGTGGCGATACGGACAGCGACGGCCACCGTGTGGCCCACACAGACACCCGCGCGGGGCCAGAGCAGGGGCAGCAGGTGACCCCAGTCGAGGGCTCTGTGTCGCAGGGGGAAGGGGTGAAGCTGTCAGGGCCGCGCGCGCGTGTGTGGGGGGTATCAGCTGGCTGCCAGTCCAGCTGCGATCAGACAGAGAGCAATTACTGCAGCTCCCAGGTCCTCATCAATCACAGCGCGCTCCCTCACGCCACCTGGAGAGAGAGAGAGAGAGCGAGCGCCGGGAGAGGGGAAAACCCAGGACAGGGAGAGACGGGGGAATGAGGGACGTGGCAGAGCTGGGCTTCGGGACAGGCAGCGGGGCGCGGTGCTGTGTTGGGGTGGACCGCACATGCCTGCACTGGGAGGGTGCACCACACTGCCACCGCCGCCGCCATCCTGCCCCCAGCACGCGCTGGGAGGGAGGGTGCTACATCACCAGCTGCGCTCCTCGCTGCGCACAATTAATCACAGAGATGACGAGAGCTGCACCCCCCCATTCACACTCGTTACCATAATTTACAGGCTTTACTAATTAAACGCTGCTTAATAGAGAGACCACTTCAGCACAGCTTGATTTAAACATCTTCATGGTTTGCATTTCCTCCTCAGCTTCAGCGGCGAAGTGACTCGAGGAAGCGAATCTCCCAGCAGTCCAACGAGCCTTACGGAACAGACTTATCCCAAACTGGACTGGACACCAGCACCTCCCACTCCCAGAGTTCCCCAGTCCCGACCAGACCCCCGTGCTCCTCACACCAAGTCTTTCTCCAGACCAAGCTGGACACAAGACACTCTCCGCGCCCAGAGTTCCCAAGTCCAGACTGGACACCAGACCCTCCCGAGACCGTACGGAGAGATTCTCATCAGATGGGCCAAAGTTATTTCACGCTCGACTAAGGGGATCAAGTGCAGAGGCCTCGGGATGCCCTCCATGCGGGAACAGCTGTCCTGCAGGAGGTCCAGAACGAACCCCAGTTCAGCAACACTATCGGCACACCTGGTCCATGAGCTCCGAGCACCAGAACACACAAGGACCCTGCTCCACACACCAGCACACAGAACATACAGCACTATACTGGAGTGGGGGGACCCGACACGTATTCAAAGTCCTCAAAGGCACCGACAAAGTCAACCCAGGAGACTTCATCAGAACCAACAGGGAGCCATGAGGCACTTCTTTGTACCAGGGGTTGTGGGAAAATGGAACAAGCTACCCAGCCGTGCTGTTGAAGCTGAAACCTGGCGTCTTTCAGGGAACAACAAAATGGGACCCTTGGATCAACTGGGTACCAAAAAGCCAAACGAGCAGGGCAGGCCGCATGGCCTGATCTTGACCTTGTCAAATCACAGAGAAGGACAAAAATTGCGCGCCAGAGGCACGGACTGAATACAACTGCATACCTCCCCATACCAGAGACGGAGGAGAAACAAGAAGCAGAAGAGGAGAGGAGAGAGAGCGAACAGACCTGGCACATGCAGGGAGACTTCCTTCACAATGAAAACAATCCAACAAACTGATCCCTGAGGAATTCACAACCCCCTCCCCCTCTCCTCCACACTCCGCCATTAACATATCAAAGCACCAGGCCCTGCTCCGCCTGTTCTGCAGGAGGGTCAGGAGGAGAGAGAGAGAGAGACACACAGGGAGAGCGGGGGGGAGGAAGAGGAGTAATGACAAGAGGGTCAGGAGGAGGAGGCCGACCAGGCCTGCAGCAGACTGCAAAGATCAGTTCACATACAAGAATTCCCGCAACTCGAGACTGCAATTATGGACATACCCAAAGCGTAAAAGCACTAGGGCAACAATCTCAATATCTTTTTAAACAACAATCTACCCTTTTCATAAGACTACTGCTCCCTCCCTCTGTCCCTCTCCCTTTTCCTCTGCTCTCTCTCCCTCTCCGTCTCAGGGGCTCGAAGGCAAAACGTAAAAAATCAAAGTGAATGACATTAGGTAAATAAGACAGCTCGTTGCCAGGGTAACTGAACCCCCCTCCTGACCCCCCCACACCCCCCTTCCTTCCGTCCCCAGCCAATCAGAGCCCAGCGTGAGAGGCTGACTGACAGATCGCCATGACAGCCGGCAGAGGCTGCCTTTCACAGCACATCCCATCAATACTGAGAGAGAGAGAGAGAGGGAGAGGAGAGTGTCCATGTTCAGAGACAATGAGAGAAGTCTATGTGGTCTTGGGGGAGAGGTAGCGAGTCGAGAGTGAAGCTGAAGTTAGGAAAGAGATCAAATATAATCTTGGCTAATAACTAACAGGGGTATGATTACAATATATGTAACTGATCCAGCTCACAGTAAAGTCAGTCCAGTCCAGTATAGCCTGGAGAGTCTCAGACGGCTCTGTCAGTGCGAGTCTGATTATAATCTCAGTAACTAATCCAGATCACAGTAAAGTCAGCCCAGTACAGCCTGGAGAGTCTCAGACTGCTCTGTCAGAGTCCGTGTGAATCTGATTATAATCTCAGTTGATAACTAATCTACCTCACAGTAAAGTCAGTCCAGTCTGGAGACTTTCAGACTGCTCCGTCAGTATGAGTCCGACTATAATCTCTAATAATTAATCTAGCTCACAGAAACTCAACCCAAAGATCTTGCCATTTAAATGGTGGACAAAACACAGTAATACTCATCTTCTATAGCCACATGTGTTCTTCTACAACCTGAATGCTCCAAATAACACTAATAACACTAAAGTCAAACAGCACTAAAACTACAAATCACATTAAAACCAGAATGATAGTCAGTGCCCAACAAGAGGTGGAATAACTATTTTCTACAGAAACACTGAGAAAAACAATACAGGACATTGTCCAAGAACTGCAACAGCACATCGACCCAGAACCAGACAATCGGCGACCTAGCCGTTTCATCCGTCACCCAGTCAAACTGTAAAAAGCCCAAAGGCGCCACAAAACCAATCCATCGACCCAAGTGACCCACGGGTCAGCCCGCCGGTCGATTCACGAGCCCCGCAGGGTCCAGCGGCAGCCCGGAACCGCTCCAGTTTTACCTGCCCAGCTCGGCCGCCACCCGCCTCACCTGTCTTCTCCTTGATCTCGCACAGCACGCTGAAGAGGGCCGGCTTCATCCTGTGGCAGTTCAGCGCGTGCTTCCTGCAGAGGGGGGGGGAGAGAGAGAGAGGGGCTGGCGTCAGAAACGAGAACCCGCGCTCCAGCACGACGCGCGGAGGACCCGCGGCCCCTCCGACCGAGACCCATGAGCCTCTCCGAGCTCCCGACGAGGACTGGAGGCGGCAGGACTTAAAAGCGGAGGCACGTCGGGGACCGGAAATGGCCCAGTCCCACACGTCAGCAGACGGCGCGTTGTGCAAACGCACAAACTGCACGCTGCCGGGATAGTGGGTCGGCCGTGTGAGATCATGCAGTTCTTTATGTGACGGATTGCTCCATGAAGAGCGGAGCCACAGGGACACCCATCAGGCCCCGGCAGCGATGTGACCCGCTCCAGGTTTGCTCCGGCTCTCACACAGACACTCCCCACGCGAGGTTCCAGGTAAGCCAAAACCCACCTTGCTTTGAATAAACATGCCCCACCCCCAGCCGAAAATTTCACCTGAGCTTCCTACTCCTGCAGCTCGCACAAGCGGGGGGGGTGGGTCGGACTGCTGCCCAGTGGGAGCCGGGTTTGACCCCCCTGTAACCCCTAGCGCCCTCCGCACCTCGCGAAGGGTGTGCAGGCCTGCTGCCAGTACCATGTAGCTACTCCGCGGAGCAAGTGGGGAGGGGGAGAGAGGGGGGGAGGAGGAAAGGGGGGGGCTTATTTTACTGACCTGTGCTGGAAGTTGAGTGGCAGGTCAGTTCCTGCCGTGCCCCCCCCTGCGACCCCTCCCTCTCCTGGGGCAGTACGGTCCTCTCCTGCCCCCCAGCGGGGTCGCTCGTCACGCCAGGATCTGAGGACACAGCGCGCACGCATCAGCAACCACAACACGACCCCAACCTCCTGCCCCCCGCGAAACGCTACACGCACCCGCAGAGGCCAACACTGGCTCGTAGTCGAACTCCTGCTGTTTAGCAAGCCTGATCCACACCGGGTTTTGTGACTAGACTCAAGGGCTCTAGTATGGGGGGCATCAGGCGCTAGAGAGATGAGCCTCACGGTGAGTAAACCTGCACAGCTAGACCGCCTGCCCAGAGCGATCGAGAGTCGCCCTGCTGGTGAAGCCTGGAGAAGATCAGACTGCTAAACAACAGGAATCTGAGCCCGTCTCTGCCTCCTCCTTTACTGACCAGTCCTTCGAAGTCTGCCAGTTCTAAGAATGGAAGACCCTGACTCCAACTGAGGAATCAAGAACAGGGACTGAATAAGACCACAGCCTAGGCTCTCCCAAGGACAACAAGATGCCCACAGGGAGGACCCTGACCTCTGCAGCGAAGCAGGTTCACGTTAACAGCCAGGCAATGGTGCAGTAGAACACCAATGGTGCACAGCTGGGGAAAAAAAGGGCTGAGACACTCCAACATCACAGAAAACCAATGGACCTCTAGCTGCATAGCAGTTTGAGCCATTTCGAGTTTTACAGCATCAAAGAGCACCGTTAAAAACTGTAGAACTGATGTAGAAAATTATATTGACACGCAATAACTGTTTTGGCTTTAATATTGGTGACATGAGCTGGTAATACGATTACATTTACAACAATGCTCGATACTACTGACCATACTGCACAAGGACTAGAAGAGTCTAGAGCCTGTGACTGGGCTGTGTCAGTGTCCTGGACTCCACAGGGACTA